GTTGGTTGGTTGGTTGGTTGGTTGGTTGGTTGGTTGGTTGGTTGGTTGACGATGGAAGACCACGTCAAACAGCTGACCCACAAAGAGGCGTCGTTGTGAGAGCCACTGGGGAAAGTCGCCCTTCCCCCAATGTTCAACTGGACCAACCGAAGCTCCAACGACCCAAAACTCCTCCTTCGAACGAAGGAAAAAACCTTCCGGACCAAAACGAGGATCAAAACCTTCCGGGTGTGCATCCGAATAGGAAGACCCATCAGAGTTCGACTCATCAAAAACACAAAATCCATTGCTGGGTAGGGGAGTCACGGCTCCTGGCCTCCACCATGGTCTGCAGGAGGTGCATTCACAGAACCACAGCAGCTCCGCATAGGTCGAGATCTCCTGCAGCCACTGCGGCGTCGCGTGCGCGCACGCGTGCGGCTCGCAGGACTCCGCCATGAGCCGATCGAAGCGGAGGAGATTGGTTGTGGAGGTCGTTCCCGTGCAGTGATCCGTGTCATAGAAGAAGATCTCGCAATGGTAAGGAATCAGCACCTGCCCAAAGTCCGACTCTGGAACGGGTCCGAAGTGTACCACACTTCGGACGGGGGCAATGGCCATTGATCCACCGAAAATAACCAAGAGTGCGGCACGGTGTCTTCTTCCCTGGATGATGGCCGAAGAATCGCAGGGGAAGTTCTGAAACAAAGGAACTCTGAGAATGGACATCCGAAAGAATTGCGAGGCTCTGAGAGGCTCTTCTGTCCTTCCTTCGGCCACCGTGGGAATGCCTCACATTTCAACCCCTCGCTTGGATGATGTATTGGCTTACTTTGTATTCGATTGGCGTCGAAGTGTTGCAATAAAGTAAGCCATGTGCCCCTCCAAACACAGTGCCAGGCACATGACATTCTACGCCAGAACTCCCCCTCAAATGCCGACATCCGAAGACCTTCTTTGGCAAAGCCTTAATACTTAATAAGGATCAGCATTTGGGAATTGAGCCGGTAGACTCCTACTATACAGTGGTTTCAGAGTGGATGGCACAAACCCAAACATATATATATATATATATAGCACCATTTTTGTGGATTGTGCCATGCACTCTGAAACCACAGTCCTCATACAGTCCTCACTCAGATGTGCCATGATGTCCGACGTTGGCCTGGCTCGGCCACAAGGCACAGATCTGGCTTAGGGCCATCTCAGCATTATCGGTCCACACCACCACCGTTTCAAGGGACTCATCGTCACAACTGATCTCTTTGCCAGTCTTGGTCTCGCAATAGGAGCCATGCAAGTCCTGCAAGTGCTCCTGCATCGCCGAAAAGTTCTCCAGATCCAATGGATCCGCGTTCGTCGCGTTCGTCTGGCTTCCGTTGCACTCCAGGTCGCCCAGCTCGCTGGAAGCGGCCCAGCTGCGCAGCCGCGAGGACCAGCGGACTGGATCGTGACAACGGCGATGAAAGTGCTGAAGGGTTTCACACCAAGGGCTGGCAAAACGACCTCTTCTACAAAGATCCAGATCTGACTGCAACTCGGTTTGTTGATACTTGTGCCATGTGGAGGGTTCGGTGAAGTCCGAACACCACCAAAAATCCGCGTTGAAGCTGAAATGTGCGAAAATCAATCCAAGGGTCGCAGCCGAAGCCAAGCGAATCACGATGGACAGAGCAAAGAAGGTGCAGCCGGACTGCTGTCTCTCACCCAAACCAAACCTGGAGTATTTCTTGGGGCGCAATAAGTGCGCTGGCTGCAACACCACGTCCAAGACACTGCCAGCTCGCCAAGAGGAGAGCAGAAACATCAAGAGCAAAACACCCAGGGTGACATACGGAGTGGTCACCAAGTGTACCGCGGGCACCGCGGCCGAGGCCACCACTTCTGAAAAAGAGCACACCCAGACCAGCACCTGCCTCCGGTATCCATACTGTTCCCTGAGGGCACGGCGAGTCGCTTCTAAGCGGATGCTCCGGCGGAAGCAGGCAGAATCAATCTCTCCAGTGAAGCAGCTTGTGTCCGTGCATCTCATCTAAACAAGCTCGCAGCTTTTCACTCGCTGAAAGTTGATATATAGGAAGAGTTACTTTCGCTACAAGTTCGACTTCCGGGTAAACGTGACGAGGTCTCACGTCTTACACAGTGACTCACGTCTAGTGACTCCATGTAGAAAAAAAGGGTGGATCCACCGGGGTCGAACTCGGGGGAGGGAACCGCGTGAGGAACTCGGGGAGGGAACGGTTTTGCTCACACTCTTTTTGAATGGATCACATGAAAACACGGCTTTGCAGGCAGGAAATGCATGGAAATTCGACCGTGTGAGGGTTCTCCAAGTTGTTTTTTGCTGGATTCTCAGGAGAAAGGGTCTTCACTTTGGAGCCTGGAAGAAGAAACACTTTTATCCAGGTGGTCTAGAGTCTAGAGTGAGGAGGAAGCAACTGCAAAAATCGGGCCTAGCCAGCTCAATCAGCGCTGCCAAACATTTTATATCATGATGTCTGGCGGCACAAGGCTATGCCTCTTGATCCACGAACGTGGCCTTCGCGCGACAGGTGGTTCAGTCTGTGGGCAAGGCAAAATCAGCAGAGCCGTGGCCTGTAGGCGATTAGCTGATCGCCCACAGGATCTACACCTCCCTGATGGAAGTGGCAAGTAAGCCCCTGGTGGTGACCCTTTTTCTCTACCAACCGGTGGTTTTCACTCCACTTCCACCATGGTGGCCCCGAGAGTACCTTTTCGGGGCTCTTCCCTTCTCCAAGCGAGGAACTTGGATGAACTTGCGATGAACTATGAAAAGCCCTCCGCGATCGAGTTTTTGCAACATCCACTACACTGACTACAGCAGCTTCACCAGGTCCCCTCTCCTCTAATGTGACCTCTTGACTAATACACCTTGCACAGGAGGAGGATGTTCCAATTCAAATGGGGAGGCTTTTTTAACAGGAGTCTACAGTACATCCTCCACCACTCTACATCCCAAGGACCTGGTCGTGTGAAAACCAATTGCCTGGAAGAGGCCACCAAAGCAAGAAACCTTTTGAAACCTAACTTGCTGACAGAAAAAAGAACGGCACAGGGACCAGGAGGTGAAAATGTGGACCTTCAAAAACGAAGATGTGGATCTTCGATTCTATGTGGGGTATGAAAAATGGAGATCCACAGGTAGTGTAGGGTAGTCCAAATACGAGACCCCGAAAGGAAGGTGCTGCGTGTTAGCTCGGCATAGAAGTTTTGCGTGTAGTGAAGTAGAATCCCCCAGTTTGCGGTCTGGAGACACCTCCTGGGGCATATATGTCTGTTGAGTGCCACTGCCCGGTGGAGTGGTTGTGTGTGTGTCTAAGAACGGACAGAGGATAATCTGCACACACAGATCAGGATCAGCTGGGCACACAGAATCAAACAGCTTGAATCGAAAGGCAAAGAAATACAGGAACCGATGAACACATGAAAGGCCAGTGAATGGCGACACTGCTTCCTCGACCCGCCCGAAACTGGCCATCCTGAACCTGCTGGTCGAGGCTCCGCTTCGTTCGTCCCGCTTCGGTCGTCCCGCTTCAAGCCCCACACGAGTCCCCGAGTATCGTCACCCACCTGGGACTCGCGATAGGTGTCAGATGCCAAGGTCTTGGCAAAGTATGTATTTGGAAACCTCGGCACCAGCAATGGACAAAGGTCAGGGGGGAAGGTCAACCCAAAGCTCCTGCTTGCTGCGCCTCATGTCGTTATATAAGTGAGAACAACTTCCACAAATTCAACTTCGGGCAAGCAATAAATCTTTGCCGCCATCTGCACATCCATTAGTGTGCTGCCAAAAATCATTTGGCCCTCTTCCTCAACCAACCAGCATTGGCGGTTTTCTCTTTTATCCGGAGACCAAATCATCGGGTGAGGATCGGCCGCACTGTGATATGTGACCTATGCTGATCATCAGGATTGGTTCATGTTTTGTACCGCCAACTTCGCCTCCTAAACGAAGGGATCGGAGAAGGTCCGACGGATCACATCCGCACCGTCCGCGGTCCGCCCGGATGGACCGTCCGAATCACATCCGGATCACGACACGACAGTCGCACCGAGTACGTCCGGTCCAAGGAATCCATGGCTTTTGTGGACCAGGAATCCATGGCAACACCAAAGCCAAACCTGGCCTGCAAAGGCTCGGACCTCTCTGGAAGAACTGTGAACCGCTAACTGTGGATCAATGGATCAAACTATAACCACTGTGTGGTGAAAGAATGTCAGCATCCAATTCCAAACGCAAACCCTTACTTGGCCATAGCCGGTATGAACCGCCGCAGCCAACCCTCCCATCCACTTCCACTTCCAACTCTCCTACCCAGCCAACTCCCACCTCTTCGCGGAGAAAAAGGACGCCGACCACGCCGAAGTCACTCCGACCCCGCGGGCCTCCTCGGCATGGTGTTCTCCAGCTTGGGGCTCGTGTGCGTCACGAAGCCCCCCCGTCGAAAGTCCGTACTCCCGTGCTCCAGCTGACTCCAGCGGCCTAGTGCGGTGGGGCGGGCGGTGAGGGGGGGGGTTGGTGAGGTGGCCCGAGGCTGTGTGGTGTTCTTTTGGGGGTGGTGAAACCGTGAAGGACTCGAAAAAGACACCATGTGGCCATGTAGGCCACTCTTCTGTGAGGCGTTGATGAATCGCTAGGTGAATCACAAGGCGGAACAAGGCGGTGTTGCCAAGAACTCTCGCACTGAAGTGCACTCGGTAGTGTTCACTGGCGGGTGTTCTTGGGTGTTTGGGGTGTTGCTCCACAAGAGCATCTCCAAATCACTGGCAGTGTTTTCGTGATCTTCCACCAATCTTCTCTCCAGAGCCCTGACCTCTAACTCTAAACCCTGTACTCTTTAAACCAACCACATCCTGGTCAATGAGCGCTGGAGAGGAACTTCGATCACGTCGTGAAACAGGTGCAGCTTGCAGCGTGCGCGCGATGCCCAGTGCCCCTTCACCAAAAGGCCTTTCAAACGCCCTCAAGGCCCCTTTTCTATGCCCGTTTCTCTAAGCCCTTTTAAACCAACGAACAGCGACCGGTTACGGGGATGGATGTGGACCGGATGGTCGGATCGATGGATGCGACGAGAGCACGTCAGGTATCTTCTAAGGGTTTTCGACATCGTTCCTTTCACAGAGAAGGTCTGCACGTCATGTCTGAAGGTCAGGTGAGGAACGTGAGGATACACGACAGAGACTGTGACATCTGACATCTTCCTAGGTCTGGACTTCCCAATCTCAATGAGAGTTCATATGCTTGGATTTGCTTGTTTCGGAAGCCCAGGAAACCAGAAAAAATGCATCTTCCCCAGATTTCTAGGATACAAAACAAAACAGTGAAGGGAACATCCAAATCCCCCAGCTGATCGGCAAAACATAGCAAAACCAAGCAAAATGCGGTGAGAACGCCTCATCTTCCCCCTTTTGTTGTGACCTCCGGACAATCTCTCCTCCGGACGACTTCTGTCAAATGCTGCCCCGCTCTCATGGGCTTTCTCGCCACGCCTCTACTATGTGCTCTGCCCACTCTGGAACCTCGACCTCAAAGCAGTCCAACGCAGGGAGTTCAGCATGTATCTGCTTTTGGGGGTCATAATCGATCAGTAAAAACCAGATTTTTTACTGATCGGTCACTCATAGACTCAGAGTCTGTGACTCTATGACTCGGAGTCACAAGACGGGGTGGTGTGGGGTCCCAGGATCAGTGAGTGGCGACGGCACCACCTCGAGCTCCTGGACACAACACGCCGCTCTGCGACTCCTGGGAGTCTATTTCAAGTCTATCAAAGTTCCCTCCCTTCCCTCCCTTCCCTCCCTTCCCTTCCCTCCCTTCCCTCCCTTCCCTCCCTTCCGTACCTTCCCTCCCTTCCCTCTCTCTCTCTCTCTCTCTCTCGTGCTTGCAGAAAATCACTCGTTTTACCCTGTTTCTTCACCCGGATAGTGTCCAGATGCTTCTGATCTGGGACGTCCAGCATCCCGATACTTTCGGAACACAACCATAAATCCACAGCCGGACTTACTCCTCTCCATCGAAGAAACGTGGCATGGAAATCCAACGCTGTGTTTCCCTCACCATCCCAAGCATGGCCTACATGGTTCCGACCGAAAGCCAGTCATCCTAAAGCCACGCACCAGCCAAATCAAAAACGGTCATCAACAACTGGAATGAACCATGTCTCTGGAAGTAAAAAATGTAAAATGGATGAATGTCATTGAATATCTCCCTATCCATGCTGTGCGAGCCCGGACAGCATGCCTCAAATGTGATTCTTGCCATCTCGACCCCACCCTGGGGGCCCAGGCAGACTTTGTCCATCAAGCACGAGGGACGCCCGGAGAGCCCGGAGAGGAAAGGCGACGGGAAACCGCTGTTCGGCACCCGTTCAGAAAAACCAACCGGAATCAAAAGAAACGATGGTCTCATCGAATTGGTCTGCTCCTGATGTCAATAGTCGCTGATTTTTGTTGAGACCCTTTGTCAAAAGAGAAAATGGATGGCAAATGAATCCCTCGGCACTTGCTCATGCTTCAAGAAAGCTACGCTGCTGCAGGCGATAGAGGCAGAGCACAGCTGCTGCTAGTAGGAAGAATTGTTTGCCATAAGAGAGCAGTCCTTCAACCGTTTTCTGGAAACGTTGCCCTTTATATTGCTCAGGTCCCAAGAAGATCCCAAAACGCATGGAGGATCCACCGTTTTCTGCACGAAATCAAAGCGCCACACTTGGCTCGCCACCTTTTCAGTCTCACGACTCTCACCTGTCTTGGCTTGTGTCTTGGCGCCGGTGCGGATACAAGGCGAAGCATTTTGGTAACCAGCAACTTCGGTGGAAGTCTGGATGTCTGGATGCACTGAAAAGCAGCCTCCCAGTGAGAAAACGTGAGAACCCCAGTCAAACCTTTCGGATAAGAAAAGATTGAGGATTTCCTGGCTTCCTGCATGGGGCCCATTGAGTGTGGGAGACTGTAGCCAGACAAGCATTAGGTTCTCAACAACCGAACACTTGAAAATTCCAACGAAGCATGAAAGCTTGAAATCACAAACACAAACTACACCCCAAAACCAGCTGCTTCACAGACTGGTTTAGAGCGCCAGGATGACGTTCTGGCCCTTGCCAAGAACCATGGGCCCTGTAGGCCCGGGCACCTCTACATTTGGATGAACGGCTGTAGGCCTCAAGTTCTCCCCGATCCCCTCGTCGAGATCCGGCATCTCACCCTGCAAGTCCGCTGGCGGAGGCGGCGCCTCCGGCAGATCCTTCGGCTCCCCGTCCAGCTTGGGCAGAGACTCCACCAGCAGCGGTGGCGGCATCTCCAGGGTGGGCACCGTCGGAACGCTTCGGACGGGCGCCGGCACCACGGAGCTCGGCTCGGGGGCCTCTGGCAAGTCGTCCTCGTAGATGGGCGGCAGATTTTCGGAGGCGATGAAGGCCAAATCGAAGTGGATGTAGCAACCTTGGGTGAGACCTCGTGCGCCGATCAATAAAGAAATCAAGGCCGTCCAATAGCCCAAAAGTTCTTCACCCATGTAGAAGAGCGAGTAGATCTGCAAGATGAACGCCTAGGTCCACAGGTGTCCAGTTTGTCAAACCCAACAACCTAACCCTCTGACTTTCGGACCTGAGATCCACTGGACACCCCGTAGGCCAATCTATCTTCTTCCCTTCCCACCCGACGGCAGACCAGGATAACCCTGCAACCGGCCCTCACCCAACAACTCAAGGGTCAAACGACTCCAACAAACGGATCGGACCCCTTCTCTTCCCAAGGCACCAGAGTGGCTTCTCCAGTCTTCTCGCTCTGCACCACAGCCAAAAGGTTGTCCGTCCACAAATTCGCCTTCATCGAGACTCGGAACTCCTGGAAGAAGTACAACAACCCACGGCGAAGCAGCTGTTCCAACAGAGATCGCACCACAAAAAGACCTTGAATCAGTGCGAAGCTGTAGTGATAGGTCTGAAGGTAGAGAACCACCATTCGAATGTCAGTCACAAAGTCTGCCACGCAGAAGCCAACGGCCATGAGGATCCACAAACGATTCAAGTAGCCTTCTGTGGTCCCCTGGGATGCGAGCTCCGCTTGCAGTGCTGTTTCTTCCATCTGCACCAGTTCCTGAAGTTTCACATCCACGGGCACAGCCCAAGGATTCCCCACACAGCAACAGAAGAGGAGGCTGGCGAAGAGCCACAGCACCGGACCACCAACACAGGTCGCCACCAAGATGAAGTGGAGGGTGAACAACGGGTCGCTGAAAAAGGCATGCGCCTCTCGGCTTCTGAGATCCGCCCCAACAGCTCAACTGCGAGTCAAATCTGGTCACATAGGGATTGAACAGTAAAGGGCCGGTGAAAACCCAAAACGCGCACAAACCGTCGTGTTCGTAGTGTCAGGTTGCCACAACCAGGGTGAGAAGTGAGACTACGAGAGCAAGCCCTCGCAAACGCTTAGAGCAACGTGCTTCACTCAAGAAGCTCCAGCAAGCAATGTGAGAGTCTCCAACACTCCCGCACAGACCGCCTGATAATACCCAAATCCTTCGCAAGATGCATTTCAAACGCTCGACGATGCATCTGCCATGTCCTGCTTTGTCCAATACCACGCCCTATTGCTAAACCCGCTTTTGGGAGGTGCCCCTTTTGCCCCGAGACATGCTCGAAGATGCATCCGCCACGCCTGCTTTGTCAAGGGTCTTGTCACTGGAACCTGCTCGGAGGTTCTCTTTTTTGCCCCGAGACGGGCTTCAAACAAGGTGCGAAAGGGCACCAACAAAAACTTCTTTTGTAGGCCTTTTCTGGGAGAACTTGGTGCTAGAACCCACTTCTTCAGGGGCGTCCTTTTTTGCCACCGCAATCAACAGATAGAGTGCAAGATAGAATCCCAAGTATATATGCTAGATAGAAGGCCATGTTATATTATAGATAGTGTGCCAGGGTATGATAGACACTGTCTTTGATGCCATGGCAGAACAAAAGTCGGAGTACATGGCAAAACACACATATCAGGACGGACGTCCGACCATATGTCACATCACCTGTCAGACTTCATGCCAGGAAAAATGACACATTGTCAACAAGGACGTCAGAACACAGTCCGGAACATTTCCCTGCCTTTATGATAGATGACGTGCCAGAGCAAGCATCAGACACATGTGCCCTGCCTTCTTCCAAATCGCCTCAAGGTGGGGATCACTTGAAGTAACTTGAGGCAGGGGGGGGTGAAGGAAAGCTAGCCACTGCTGGGAGCGGTTTGTTGTTCCAACGCAAGAGCAGTGCGGTAACGAGCAGGGTGGCAGCCTCCAAACAAAGAGGTTGGGGTGGTTAGGAGGGCCACGACGGTTCGTAGGAATGATGTGGATCCATGGCTGATAGGAACCATGAGGGTTTGCAAGCCAGGATAGGAACCATGAGGGTTGAAAAGCAGGGTTGATGGGAGGAGATTTTGATATGGGAAAGTGCTCATGAGGCAGCTTGATGAGAAGGTTCAGCTGCTGCATGGGAAGCTCATGGCCATCTCCAAGAGAGGAGCATCAAACCTGTCACACTCAGACAGTAACATTGAGAGGAGGATGGATGAGGGAGGTGGCCAAGTGCAAGATAGGTTGAAGCATTTGGTTCAGAGGCTGGTTGATTTGAGGGGCTGGGTTTTGATGAGGTGGGGCGGTGAGCCTTGTCATGCCTTGCCCCATGCACATGAGGAAGGCCAAGATGAGGGGTATGACGCCACAAGGGCTGGGTCCCATCAGGATCATGAGATCATGTGGGTTGGCATTGATTGAGAGGCATGAGCTCTTTTCCAGCCAGGCATGATGAGGGTAGATTTATATTGTGTTAAAGTGATGGAGAGAACTATATTTTGTTAAAGTGCTGCCATGCAATGTGGCCTCATGGTATAGCCTCCAGAGACGCCAACAGTGCGAGTTGAACCCCCGGAAGGGGGGGGGTCGTCCATGACCATAACATTGAATGATTCAAGGATTTGAGGTCTTTGAGGCTGCTGTCCACCCTCTCAATTGCTTGCTAAAGCAAGAGTGACTCCAGCTAGCTGAGGCTTGCGTGATGTTTGTATTCTTTCTTAGGACTGGCCCGACCTCAATCTCCGCCAGAAATTGAAAGCCAGCGGCCCGCCGCATCGCTTGATCCAGGACCTCCACGATGCACTCGTTCGACCTCTCAACCCGCACCCACCATTCGGTCGAGGAAGTCGAGGACTTCGTCCCAAAACGATCGGCTTTTGGTGGAGGAGGCTCGGTCGACGACACTCTGACGAACACATCACATGGAAGTGGAAGGCATGGTCCCAAAAGGAAGCCTACTTTCCAATACGGCGTGCCATCCACAGAACCATGTGATGTCTTCGGTCGGAGGAACAAGCTCTGACCTCGGTTCCAAAAGGTCTGACCTCGGTCGACGTGCCGAGACGGACCGGTCTGTCCCGACATCGAACAGCATCGAACAGCTCCGTCGTCACGCTGTCTCGCTGCGAGTCGAAACGGTGGACACCGCGGTGGACACCGCGGTGTCGCCGAAGACGAAGCGGAGTCACCACGGTGTCGCCTTCGGTGAGGGGGTCCCAACTTCGCTCGGGTTGGGCGACAGACCCAGGGCACCCCTGAAACGATCCCATGAGCACGTGGCAAAACGCGGCATGCTCTTCGGAGTGCACTTGCCGCCGGACTCATGCGGCATGGTCGAACGGAAAGAAGATGTCACGTCGCATGGTGTCACGTTGGACGTGACAAAGGTAGAAGTTAGGAGGTTTTCGTTGATGGGAAGTTTGAATGCAAGAAGAAACATGAAACATTGCTGTAGTCAATACAACGGTCTTTTGGGTTTGTGTCCAGGTGACCCCAACATGCCCCAAAGCTCCGACCTGTGCCAAGGCGTGCAGTGCTGGCATTGGCAAAAAAAGAAGAGTTCCTCCTCGTTTAACGGAGCTTTAAGCCATTGAGGCAAAGTGGACTTGCAGCGTTGTAGCTCACAGAACTTTGAGACCACCGACTCCAAAGCAGTGCGCAACGGTGTTTGGGAGATCCTCGAGCACTCGCTGACCTCGTCCCAAAACATCTGGCACTCGTAGAAAACATTCACTGGGGGCCAGGACTTGCAGACTTCAAGCGAAGTCTCCACAGGATCGGTATAGATGATGAGATCCTCTTGTAGCAATGTGAAGTCTGGCAATGGGTAAGGGTAACACTCCACTTCACTCCCATTGAGACTCTCACAATGAAAGCCATACAGGTCCTCACTGACTGATGCCAGGGCTGCTAGATCAGCTGTCTGGCTGCTGTTGCACTCCAGGCCCAGTTCGTTGAAAGCATAGCTCCGCAGCTGTGTAGACCAACGTACCGGATCGTGACAGCGCTGCCCAAAACCCAGGATGGTAGGGCACCAGCTGCTAAAGTCCGGAAATGCTCTGCAAAGTACCAGATCCTTTTCCAGCTCACTCGATTTATACTCTGCCCAGGGATACCAGAAGGCCGAGCAAAGATGCCAGTCGCTTTGACCATAGACGTACGTGAGGAAACGGCTGGCCAGCACCGCTGCACAAGTGACGCGAAGCAGCATCGAGAGGGAGTAGAAGGTACGACAGGAGGACTGGCTCTCCCCCAATCCAAACCTGGAGTAATTCTTGGGGCGCAGCAAGTGGGCTGGCTGGAAAAAGACATCCAATACACTCCCAGCTCTCCAGCAAGCGAGTAAAAACATCAGGAAGAGAGCTGCCATCGTGAACCATGGATTGGTGATCAAATGCACTCCCGGCACAGAAGCAACTGCCAGGATCTCTGAAAAGGAGCACAACCAAACCGCCGCCTGCCTCACAGAACAAGGATGAAAAATTGTACTAGTTGGGTGGGTTTGGATGCTGATGCAAATAAAGTCCACGTGTTTGCCGGCCTCAAAAGTAACATTCCACTCAAAAGCCTATGACCCGACGACTCATCACCGTTCTTTTCATTAACCCAGTACCACCCACAGACTACCACACCCGCCTGATCCATTGTCCCTGCAAGGCACGCCGCGTGGCTTCCAGCCGAATGGATCGCCGGAAGCGCGACTCAAAGACGACCGAGCGCACAGAGGGCACCGACTTGGGCGCCCGCTCGGGGGCTCCGTTCGATGCGTCCATCGCGGCGCAGCCGGATGCGGCGATGCGATGTCTAGAGCTCCATTCGCTTGGTTGGCAAGGCGTTGGGCATCTCTTGTGACCCAAAAATGGGGGAAGGTTGGCATTGTTTCGGAGTCTGGGGGGGGCCTTATGTAAGGCAAAAAAACCAGGTGTAGACCCAAAAATGACTTCGCTTTTCTCCTTCGGCTCCCTTCTTGTGTCTTCTCATCTGCTCTGGAGCCTTCAGCCCCCGACCTTTCACTCCCGCGACGCGACGGCACGGCGGTTCGTCGCGGATCGAAGCAGACGGCCACCGGGCCATTTCGGAACGCCACGCGGAACAGGTTGGGGGGTTGGATGTCCTGAAGCTGAGGTTTACCACACCAAGAGACCATGGATTCCAATGTCTACTCTGGTTTCTTAACGTTGAAGATTTAAAGAGAGGAAGACACGGGTGTACCGACTGTCACAGGTTTTGTGAGGAGAATGACATGCTGGGCATGTTTTTGGGACACGAGGCAAGGGCTCATGGTCTTCTCAAGGAACTCCCCTCCGCCCTGAGAAAATGGCACCAGTTTCACCATCGCTGCCCTTCGTTTCGGCCAGTTCTAGGTGGTATCAGGTATCCATTTCCAACGTGTTTTCAGGCTCCACAAACCTGGACATCGGAGGCGCTGTGTTGAGATGACTTTGAGGCATCCGCCTGGCTGAATCCAAAAACGATGAGAAGAAGGCGAACCAGGGCCCTCACCAAGGAGAGTTTCCAAAAATGAATCCTAGTCTTAAACATGGATGCTCATCTAGATTGGGCCCATCCTGACTTGTGGCCCAGCTGTGGCCCAATGAACCCCTCCAAAGAACGACCAGCGCTGATTGTTTTTTTGCTTCGCTGGAATGAAGGCCTCAGAGGCCGGCCGGAAGAAACAGTGGGAAAGAGAGAAGAACAGGAACCACATTCGAACAATGTGTTGTGGTTCTGTGACTGCTGTAGAATATATAGTTCAAAACATGTGAGCAGCAAGTTGGCAGCAAGCAGCAAAAATGTGGGCCAAATGTTGGGCCTCCAGTGGGCTCAACGTTTAGGCTGCCGGGCGGCTGCCGTTTGGGTGTGGGGCCACAGCGACACAGGCGGACAAGCGACACAGGCTTCATTTGCTTCCAGGTTTTTGGAGTCAAGGATGATCAGTTGTCTTCCGAATTCGACACACCAAAATGTGACCTGCACGACCTGCAAAACCCGGGCTCCCAGAAAGGTTTGCTCCCAAGAATTGGGCTCCCATTTCAATGGTGCAACACCCACATGACCCTGAATTCGTTCTGTGGGGATTCCAAAAGAAAAGCACGGACCACCGACGCAAGGGCGTCTCCGAACCGGCAATCTGTTCGTGGATTGGTCCGCGCCAAAACATGATCGAAACCCTCCGTGCGGCGAGCAGTCGGCAGGCTCGCTGACGACTACAACCGTGCGGCCAGACTCTGCAGGCTCATTGCCACCGGCCAATCTTGATGACTCGCAACATGCAAAAGCCTCGGCGACCAGTAGCACTTAGGTCCCCAAAAAAGCCAAGCCAGTCATCCCAAATACCTAGAATCCCTTTAACTCCTGTTTTGATAGGCAAGGGCCACATTTTCGGTGGTTGGTACTGCAAATCAGAGGTCACTCAATTTCATTGAAAGATCCATCGCAAATAATCCCAACAACCAATTCTCCAAGCAAAAGAATATTTCAGTATAGGGCGGTGTAGGAAATGGTTGAGAGAAATATTACCTTTCAATCGATTTAGGAATGGTTGAATGAGAGGCCAGCAGCATGGTCAGTTTGTCTAAGTGTTGGCTTCGGGCGCTCGCGAGCATCTCAGCGCAAAAAAAAAGGAATTCCGAACCAGCGGACGGCGAGAAAAACATGACTCTCCACAAGAAGCATCCTACCCCACTGTCCAAGTCTGATCCCAGCAAGCCCACCTGTCACTCCAAGCTGCCATGGAAAAGCAACAGCAGGCCCAGCAGCAGCAGACAGAGGTGCTGCGCCCAAACGCCACCCAGATACCGAGCAGCACAGAGTCCTTCCGCTCACCGGCATCGCGGGCCACCACCAATCACCACCACCGAGTGAGAGCCGGGGCCGCCCTAGAGAGCCGGGCCTTGGCCCCTTGAAAACGGTTGGGAGGGAAGAGGTCTCTCGTCCCTCCAAGAAAGGATCGCTCGCCTTGCTTCGGAAAAAAAGGTGAGAAATCCCCAACCGGCGCCCCTCATGACTCCCGATCTCCGGAAAAACCGGGTCGCCGGTGTTTGGGGACGTTTCGTGGTGTCGGCCCGATCTTGTTTCGGCCCGGAGTTCTGGACGATTGTTACTTAAACAATCAGTTCCAACAAACCAAAAGCATCCCAAAACCGCCACCGCCAATCACTGATGGATCACGTTCGTTCCCAGATCTCTGAAGAGAGCCAACATCGCCCAAAACCGCCTGCAGCAGATGCCACCAGCGCCGGCCTAGGCGGCTCGCGCGGCGCGGGCGGAGCTCGTCTCTTCGGCATCTCGGCACGCGAGGAATCGGAGTGGAGAGCTACCGAAAGGGACACCAACGGTCCGATGTTGGAGAGAACAGACCCAAAAGTTGTTGACTTTTTGTGAAAGTGACCAAACTTCCAACAACTAAGAAGAAGCCACTGACTTCGCAACTTGGTGCCCCACAGCAAAACCACATGTCGTGGGTTTCAGGTCGCTTCCGTGTGATGTTCAGAATGCAGAGATTCGTGGAGACTTCCCCCCCTCTCCTCCACTTCTCCCAGCTTTGACCAGTCCAAGGAGGTGAGAAAACACTAAGCTTTGCACAGGGCATACTGGAAGGTAATGCTTGGCACAAGCAGCAGTCCATGCCTGAGAAGCACCCCAAACTTCAGGCAGTTGATGAAGGTGAGGGCTTTAAGAGGAGAAGATCGCCAAACACACAAAATTCATCGACGATTTCACCTATCTAATTCAGAACTACTTTCCAGAGAGCAATCTCACTTGAGTCTTCTTTGGGACAGAACCTGAGTTGTGGGAAGAACATCTCCCAGCACATACTAGCGCCTCCAACCTACTAGCGAAGGCCTCCAACCTACTGTAATAGCGATGGCCTACAACCTAATAGCGAAGGCCTCCAACCTAATAGCGAAGGCCTCCAACCTAATAGCAAAGGCCTCCAACCTAATACCGATGGCCTCCACCCTAATAGCGATGGCCTCCAAACTACTAGCAATGGCCTCCAACCTACTAGCGAAGGCCTCCAATCTACTAGCAATGGCCTCCAACCTACTAGCGAAGGCCTCCAACCTAATAGCGAAGGCCTCCAACCTAATAGCGATGGCCT